ACGGATATTTTTGTTTATTGACTTTCGCGTTTAACGGCCGGAGATCTACGCAGAGTCTCATTTCACCAGTTCTCTTTCTTACAGCTACAATACGAGCGCAGAATGAAGAAACGCTCGGCTGGATTATGTCTCGCTTTAACAAGTCGGTTAAATCCCGTATCTGTTTACGTTCCGCGAGCGCTAAGCGACGCGGCGCATAGGCGTTTCATCCTTCAAATGAATAGAAACCGTATAATTATCTTCGACCAATTGCACCTTTCTCTCATTAATATCTATAATCAATTCTTTTAACTCTTGCTTGGCTTTGTTTCCGTAATCTACTTGACTCTCCTCGATCACTTCTAACATTTTCCCCACGATCGATCGATCTTCGTACGTATCGATCTGTAACAACATGCTTGCGAACCTCTCTAACCTTGGTGATGCTTGTGCTTTATTCGCTCGACAGATCAGCGTCACATTGTTATCAAGCAAGAAATCTCGGCCTAAAATCACGTCACCTTCAAACGCTTTTTCCGCTATTATATTAACATTGATACTTTTATACGATTTTCCCGGTATTTTTTCTATTTGGAGTTTTACCTTGCTTTGTCCTAATATTTCTACTGTGTGATTGTTTAATGTTTGATAACTTTTTTGCGAGTCGGGTCTCGTTATAACGCATTGTTTGCGAAGCCTTTGTAATATGTTAGTTTTAACAAAGGACACAGGACTGCCTGTATCGAGTAACGCCATTAACTTTGTATAACTGTTGTTAACTTTACAAATTGAAATAAATGGTTCTGTTATTTCTAACCTTGTTTCCTCTGATCCCGACATTCTGATCGGCGCTACCTGAGACCTCGGCCTCTGTGTTGTAAACTCCACTGTTGTAGCCCTCGGATATTTTGGGTTCTCTCTGTCCTTTAGTTGCGGACACTCTGGACGTCGACGACCAGGCTTCTTGCAGTAAAAACAAATGATCCTTGTATCCTTGCAGTTTCAATGCGTATGTCCCTTTCTGCCGCAGTTACGGCATTTTTCTATCTCCGTCCACGGACGAACCTGAGTTAGCGGTCGCCTCTCTAGTTGCAATATTCCTTCGGAAATCTGCGTCATCCGATCGAAAAATTGATCTAACGGCATAGACGGTAACGACAATGCTGCTGCTCGGATCGGACTTTATAGTATTCCGCCGATTATCAAATTAATCTTATCTGCATCGGGCAAATTAAGCCGATGCATTAGGCGCAGTTTATCTGCCGCTGGTTGAACGTTTCTTTGGTTGTATTCCAGCTGCGCGCTTCTCTTTTCTTCATAGCCGCGAAGAAAGGAATTGCTCGGTCGAACATTGCGGTAATCTCTTCTTTCGATCCCGTTCACGTCTCTAACGCTCGTCTGGTCTGCACGTTGTACCAATTTCTAGCCTCCTTGATCAACTTACTAGATGACGCTAACAAAATTATCTCGTCTGTCGCGCGATGTATTCTCGCGACTTGCTCGACTCGTTGCACCCATATACGCACGCATTCATCTTCCGTCGCTCCGAACCTCGGTATTTGCGTGCTCATTGTCGCTATCGCGTTGGCAGGAAAAACTGACCTTAGACCTGGAACAAGATTCTCTTCGCTCGCTATATTTTCCGAAATCATCCTCGACCCGGACGCTTCCTCTGACAACGGCCTAGAGCCGCCCGCCGCCTCATTCGAACGGGCCTGCTCCACGACTGGTGGTGCGTTGCGGTTGGCTAACAACAGCATTTGCTGCGCCAACTGCTGCTGTTGTTGCATGCACGCTTGAACCGTGTTCATCACCTGTGTCAGTACGTCCGCTGTCACGGCCTAATCTGGTCCATCTGCGAGCGGGTGTACCCCGGATGACGTTGTCGCTAGCGGTCCCATCGTTGACGATCGCTCCATTGCGTCGATCATTGCACTCCTTTCCCAATGCGAAAGGATTGCGTCCATGAGATCCTCTCTATCGTTGGTCCCTTGTAGGTGCAGCTTCGCTGCCTCCGCTCTTAACTGCTTCATTGTCATCACCTCTAATCTAATACGGTCCATCTCACCAATCTCCTCGGAGTTGAGTCTGCGACTCCTCGTTATCACATACATCCGTGCTTCCGCTCGTGAGTTTCTAGCTGTCGCTCTCTTTAGGTCGCACGTAAATTCGGTTCAACCCGAGATTCTAATCGCCTAACGCGAGCTTCTAATCCCTCACCGCGTGATTCTTCTATCCCACTTCTGACTTAATTATGTAATATATTTATTAAAATCTATTCGGAAATTTAACCTACCACCCCTTCGTGTGATGTTCCGAAAAACGATAGGAAATATGATGAGATCGGTTTGTCAGGATACTCACTACAAACTTCAACTGATACTCAATTATCATCTAATACTTCAATTACGCTACAGTTGTGTGAAGTAACCGCATGTACAAACTAAAGGAAATAAACGACCGACGCAAATTGCGAAATACAAAATACATTGAAATATCTATAACAAAAGGAAGTATGCCTGCGGAACAAAACGTAGCGACTCAAACGCACTGACGAATTGTTTGTTACTTGCTCCTCAATCTAATCTAGCCCACGTCTCGCAATGGTGTCGGAAGCTAACGGCCAAAAAGCCCCGATCCTTTTGTCTTTGCCTCTTTTATTCGCGATTCTTCTCCGTTCAATCCTTTGTTGTCTGTTCTTTCTTTTCCCTCTTTGTTTACTTGTTTTCTACATCCGCCGATTAGGTCAACCGTGTGTCATGATTACGATATTGTTTTTGTTATGCCTCTACCGCATGACAATAAAGTTTCTTACAGGATAATGAAAAAACACAGCACACATAAAACGACGAACTGTGAGTTGCGCGCAACAGAAACATAATGGCCGCGTTCAGTAGAACAAAGTGATCAGAGAGCGCTTAGTGATTATTGTCTGTGATTGGAGCATTCTTTTAGATTCTTCATAGACCTAGAAGTATTTACCAATCAGGAGCGAGATTCAGTGGAAAATCTAGTAATATTGTCCAACTGTTGAGTCTGTTGAATGCAGCCAACGAGATAGTCCTGCGCGAGCGCGCGGGAGAGAGGTGGCGCGCGCGCTCGCTTTTCGCTCTGGCTGGAATATGAACTGTTGGAGAGTGCATGTACAGAAGACACTACTCTAATATCCATCCGGACGAGACCACAGAGGATAGTTTAATGAATCGCATATTCATCTGCGATTCGCTTTACAGGCGCAATGAAACTGAATGGATTGTTTTGAATACAAATGGTGACAAAAAACAAGAAATTTAAGAAATGAATTCTTTGAACAATAACAAAAGCGATCGTGGAATAAATGAAGCAAACTTCTGTTATCTGCTTTTAAAGCTGGTTTACATAAAAAAAAATTGTCTTTTACCTGATGGAATTAAAAGAGAATTGTCTTATGAGCTGCTGTCCAACAACTAAATCATTGGACAAGTATTGCGTTCAACTGAATATGCTGAATACAGAAATTGCCAAAAACTGTCATTACAGACCCAAAAAAAATTGTTAGAATTTGGGTGGAATATTTTGTCTCACCCATCATATTCATCCGACATTGCCTTTTTCGATAATTACCTTTTTCGCTCATTATAGAATTATTAATCTTATTATGTCCTTGAAGGTATAAACTTCGCTTCTTCAGAAGAAGTGAAAAATTACTCGCAATATCTCTTTGTTAGAAAAATGTTTTTTGAAAGAATTATGAAATTACATAAAAAAATAACAAAAAATTATCGAATAAAATGACACATATATCATTGAATAAAATTACACAGATCTACAAAAAATGGGATCATGATTGTTGTTGGGCAGCTGGGGGTCGTTTCCCAAGTAATTTTCTGCGTAGAATCCGAATCCGAGGTCAGAATTGACCCATCACGTCAGGATTTTGAAATATTTGAAGATATATACTCGAGAAATGGCTTTTTGGGCTACTTTTGAGGTTATGTATAGGACGCACAAAATTTTTTAGCTCTTTTCTTCTAATTACATCATTTAGTACTACTCTTTCCCTTCAAAATGAGCTGTCGAATGGTCATCTACTCAGATCGACCCCAAACCTATTATAATAGGGAAACATATTATAATAGGTTTGGGGTTGATCCGAGATCAGATTCGTAATCAGCGACCCCAAAAACCCATATATACAGTTTTCAGTCCAGGTTTTCGGGTTTATAGTTAAAAGTTTACAGGTTTAATATGAATGCTCATGAGGTTGTTGGGCTATAACGGCGCAGGGTTTGGAATTCATCATGTTATCTTAAAATGGCCGTAACTTTGCAAGGAAAAATCGTAGATGACCATTTGACAGCTCATTTTGAAGGGAAAGACTAGTACTAAATGATGCAATTAGAAGAAAAGAGCTAATAAATTTTGTGCGTCCTATACATAACCTCAAAAGTAGCCCAAAAAGCCATTTTTCGAGTATATAACCTCAAATATCTCAAAATCCTGACGTGATGGGCCAATTCTGACCTCGGATTCGGATTCTACACAGAAAATTACTTAGGAAACGACCCCCAGCTGCCCAACAACAAAACCTTGTAGATCTATGTTATTTTTAATAAGAATAAAAATCATTTCAATCTTGTTTAAAATCCGCACAAACTTATGGATCAATCTAATACAATAATGAATATTTATATAAAGGAAAACTTTTAAAATTTAAAAGAAATTTGATATATGTGTAATTTAAAGAATATTATTCAAAATTTTATTTTTTGTTTTAAAAGATTTTGTATATAATTTATTAAATTAAATATCTATAAATAATCGAAAGATAGCAATAAATCGATGACATGTATAGATGTGAATAAACTTCGAGAGGCAGACCTTGAGAAATAGAAATGAGCAAACATAAATTAATCAATTACTATTTTTCGCTTGTGATAAACTTTTCTTCCTGTAGCTCCTTGTGTTTTATGTCTTCGGACCTATTGACTTAAAGAGACGAAGAATTACATGTATCTAGATTGATTAGCAGATATGGCAGATTTGAATCTGACCAATATTGTATCACTTTATTATTTGTCATGAAAAAAGAGAAACATGTAGGATATATAGGGAACATATAAGTCAATAAAATAATCAAAGCTTAAACTAATTTTTCCAATAAATATAAACAATGTACAGAAGTGAATCAAGTAAATAATCAATCAAACTAAAGTAAAAATACATTGTATTTTAAAGAAGCTTGGATCAGTTTTTACATAGGTCGATCCTCTCTATCGTTATGAGGGGAACAGGAGCTTATAAGAAGTAAATAAACAAAAATGCATAATTATTAACGGGATATAAAGAGACGATTATTGTACAGAAACGCCTAATAGTACATAATAATTAATTACCTTTTAAAATGAAACCATGTTCGTTTGCTGCATTTCCAAAAGCACTTTTCCGGTATAGAAAAGAATCACAGATTTCTAAACTAAGCTTTCCATTTTTTCCATACGAAGAAGTACAATCGACGAATTAGTTTGAAAAATATCACTTGTATCTAATCTCATTGACGATCTGTAGCTTATGAGAATAAAATGTACGTAAAATGTGTACAACATTTTACACAGTTTACTAAATAATTCTTTTAATCCCCATTGACGTGTTAAAGGTTAAAAATATTCTAAAACAAATTTTTCTGGAACCAATCATTGGTAAAAATTATTTTGCGACGAGATTCAATTGTAATCGTCAACTATACGCTTCAATTAGCAGGCACACTCACCTGCCGCATAGAACATAAATATATTATTAATTTTGTATAACGCTTTATCATTTCTCTTTTTTCTTCTTATCGCATTTTTTTTTTATTGACGAGTAGAAATTAAGAATTTTTTAATTTTTATCAAGAGCTTCAGAATCTAGAAGAACTTGAAGGAAAATTACTCGACGTCGTAGCCTGTTATAATAATCTATTTCGGTTCGTGAAAATTAGGTGCGATCGCAATGGTTGCAACATCGACAAGAAATATACGCAACAATTTTTTTCGCCAAAACCGCGACAATCCCAAAGGTCTGATCGTAGTGTACGTTAGTGATAAACTTTCCAGGCTCACTCCTTCTTAATTGTAAAATCCCGCACGGACTCGATGATCTGGTCTTCCAGTGCGGTTGTTAGCTGCGTTATTTAACATGCGCAGTCGCAAGCACAACGACGTACGCGTTTCTCACGGTGATGAAGGAAGACGTCGTCGGGTACAGAGCGCACAGAACGTGGTTGTACAACTATGAAAAAAAAGAATAATCAAATATTTAATTATTATTATTTACTCACAACTTAATAACTATATATGTCGTGTACAGTGTGCTTCATAATTTATATTCAATGTCCATAGCGCCATTTTTTAAAGAAAATTTATTCTTTTTTTAGCAAACATGTCAAAGCATTGATAATGTATAAAAGAGCGAATCTTCTCATGAACTAAACTTCGAGTACTAAATGATTTTCATCGAATAATTTCAAGAGGACTTTATTTCAACAGAATTTTCATTAAAATATTTGTTTCAAAAGTAAGTTATAATATAATATATTAAGAATTAGGAAGTCACTATAAATAATAACCTTCCCTGACGTTTTCATTAAAAAAAAAGCTGTCAAAAATTGTCATGTACAGTGCTGTGTAAGCGAACGAGAATTACTAGGTGCGCAACTAAGTTTCCGGATTTCATATATGGATAACACTAACGACACATGTAGTCGATATACATGTCTGAAGTTGTTTTTATAGCTTGGATCTGTTAACAATAACCAGTCGTAATACCAACACATATTGCAACGCAAAAATATTTTGTCTAATAACAAAGATGTCGAGTTTTGTGCCAAATAAACAGCATTTGCGGGAAGCTTTGCTTTTCTGCTTTAACTTGAAAAAAAGTGCAGCTGAAGCACGTCGTTTGCTTGAGGAGGCCTACGACGAACATGCACCATCGAAAACTATCTGTGAAGATTGGTTTAAACGCTTCAGAAGTGGCGATTTCGACACTGAGGACAAGGAGCACTCCGGAAGACCAAAAACAATTGAGGACGCCGATCTGCAAGCGTTATTGGATGAAGATAATACGCAAACACAAGATCAATTTGCGGAGACATTAAACATGACTCGCCAAGGTATTTCCAAACGTTTACATGCCATGGAAAAAATTCAAAAGGAAGGAAAATGGATGCCGCATGAGTTGATTGAGAGACAGATGGAAAATCGAAGAGCCATTTCCGAAATTTTGCTTTTGCGGCATGAAAGAAAGAGTTTCCTACATCGAATTGTTACTGGCGATGAGAAGTGGATATATTTCGAGAATCCCAAACGCAAAAAATCGTGGTTTTCACCTGGCGAAGCATCAACATTGACGGCATGGCCAAATCGCTTCGGAAAGAAGACAATGCTTTGCGTTTGGTGGGACCAAAAAGGAATCGTGTACTATGAGCTGCTGAAACTGGGCGAAACTGTCAATGGGCATCGCTGCCGACAACAACTGATCAATTTGAACCATGCATTGCTGGAAAAACGGCCAGAATGGGACAGGAGACACGAACGAATGATATTGCAGCACGACAACGCTCCATGCCGTCGCACTTCCATCGTCCAGGACACCATCAAAACGCTGAAATGGGATCTGCTACCGCACCCGCCGTATTCGCCAGACCTAGCCCCTTCCGATTATCACTTGTTCCGATCGATGGCGCATGGCTTGGCTGGGCAACACTTGGTCAATTTCGAAGAAGTGCAAAATTGGTTGGATGAATGGTTTCGGTCCAAAGACGCGTCGTTTTATCGTCGCGGTATTCATGTATTGCCAGAGAGATGGCAAAAATGTGTAACTAGCGAGGGACGATATTTTGAGTAAACCATTTTTTATATTTTTCTTGAAATTTTCCATTTTTCATTGATCAAAAAAACCCGGAAACTTAGTTGCGCACCTAGTACAAAACACTTCGTATATTTTAATCTTTAGTTATTCTATATAAAGTAAAATCTTGGAAAAACGAAAGAAATAAAGTTTTATTTACAGTGTGGGCGTGTTTCATGCACAGGTTGTTGTTGCTGCTGTTGTTGCTGCTGCTGTTGCTGAATCATCATGTGCGCTGCCTGATGTTGATCGACCTGCTGTCGTGGCTCAGCTTGTTGCTCTGTAGACTGACCGTCAGTCACTTCAGCACGAGCTTCTACTGGTACTTCCAAAGATTCGACCGGTCTTAGAGCAAATCTCGGAACTGGGAAAGCGCGACCTTCCACGACCTAAAATTTCAAAAACAACTTTTATCAGTTAAATTTAATTTATCTTACTCTATGGTATTTATACTTTTCCGTATTGCCGCCCCTATTGTTTTGTCGTATTATAAAAATATTTACCGAAAGATATTACGTGAGAACATTTGATTAAGGTTGATTTTTTACGAACCAATAGTTTTAAATTTTTCTCTCAACCAATCTGTAAGAATTTATTTACTTTACAGCAATATTGCATATTTATATTTATTTCAATATTTAAATATTTAATTAATGCAACTATATTTATAATGATATAATTGTAATAAAAAAATATATTATTAATAATTAAAAAAATTTTATATGCAGTTTCCAAAAATAAGAGTCGGTTTCAAAAAAATTGGCAGCGATGGGATTCGAACCCACGCCTCCGAAGAGACTGGTGCCTTAAACCAGCGCCTTAGACCGCTCGGCCACGCTACCATATATTATTCCCTGGGCACTGTGATACCTAGTGAATTCAATTATTAAGACAAATGTCGGTATTGTTATTAATATAATATTATATATTAATTGTATTATTATATAATTAACACATTAAATACTATGGTAACCACCGATGACCGATATTAGGCTATTAATATATCTTGTTATAAGTTAAAATAATATATAAAATATAATTAATCCATAAAAATTTATTGTGAGATTAATATATGAAAATAGATATTAGCCATAATGTGTAAATTTATTAGTAAAGAGAGAGATTACTATAAAAGTTTATAACCGAAATATACAGGATGTATCTAAAAGTATGTTACAAATTGTAAGGGCGTATTCTAAAGGTCAAAATAAGAAAAGAAGTTCCTATAAACATAAGTCCAAAAATGTTTTCCCTCCGAGTTATAGCCCCCTAAAGTTGGGGGGAAAAAGATCGCCGAAATTTTGCACAGCGTAATAATTAATAGTGATCTCGATACTGACCTTTATTTTTATTTGTGACCTTTATTTGTGATTTTGACAATTTAGTCCTATTTTGAAAGGAGATATGGAGGGAGGTGCTAATTTTCAAATGGCCATATTCTTTTATTTTTCGAAAAATTTTAGGAATAGCTTTTTGAACGTTTTTTTCTCCTAAATCAAATGGTTTCATTCATTTTTCGGAAGGAAAGTATTTTTAGACTCATATTTATAGGAACACTTCTTTTCTTATTTTGACTCCTTGAGAATACGCCCTTAAAATTTGTAACATACTTTTAGATGCACCCTGTATATCGACATACATTCATTTATTAACCTTTAATTTCATATGTACCATTTATATCTTAAGTAACTAAAATTTATTATTTAGAAGTTTAATATTTAAGTTTCTTGGCAAAGCTTATTATATTTCTTAGAATATAATAAATAAAATAAAATGAAATAAAATAAAATAAAAAATAACTCTACTATGTGTGTGCGTGTGCGTGTGTGTGTGCGTGTGCGTGTGCGTGCGAGCGTGCGCGCGCGTGTGTGTGTGTGTGTATGTGTGCGTGTGTGTGTATGTGTGATAGTTTATTTCAATAAATTATATATTATATATTAAAAAGCAAGATAAAATTGAAAAGAATTTATACTAACACAAGCTAAGTAAATGTACTGAATTCTGCCACTGTCTCGAATTACGCCACTGACTCGAATTACGTCACCTTAGTTTGTTCTATGCATGTAATAAAACATAGCTGAGTAAAAATGTCTAAAAATTACCAGAAAGAAGTCATAGTGTGTCAAATGGCTCCGCTAAAATAAATATACAAAAACATAATGTGATTTTCTGTGAAAACCAATTTCAAAAGCTTATATCAAAGATTTGTCACTTTCGACTATTTTCGACTGAATTTGCTTCTAAATGACTACTAACTTATGAAGTAACATTGTACTTTATAATATGAAAAGTGAGATATTTTTGGGTAATAATATAAAGTGTTTTAGCTTTGTACAATTAAGATATAATAAAAAATAATAGAAAGGTATAATAAAGTTATATAATAGAAGATATAAAGTTATATGGTTTTTATATAATATAATATAATGTAATATATAGAGTGGCTTCATAATCAGTGGCGTAAATTGGAACCTATAATTTCAATGGGCATAATTCGGGACATTTGCAATTCATACTTAATTCTTTTATATAAATAAATAATCTTGTTTACTTCGATTGTATGTAATTTCGATGTATGTTTTTGCTAATTTACAATAATAACTTTTAATAAGATTCATAGTTTTATCTAACACCATTTTACTTTTTTAAAAATAGACCCTCAAAAATTAATCTTTGCTTAACGCGGCGTAATTCAATATGTTTACCTTACATAATATACTCTTCATATTCAAAGCCAATAAAGTTGAGTTAAAGATACATATTTCAAATTACATTTTTGTGTCGTATTGTTAATAATTCAATCATCGGTTCTTTTCGGTAAATTTTTGTATAGTCGATGAAAAGCAGCGTGGCAAATAAGATATTGACTGGGTTCAAATTGACTGGGTTCAAAGAACAGTATCAAATGGAACAGTATGAAGAAATCTGGCATTACATGATACATTGTCTAAAAATTAAGAAGTAGAGAAAGTTCATTTAAATTTCGAATCTGAAATTTTTACTACGAAAACGCTCAAAACTTCAGTAACGTAGAGCTCGCGCAATATCTCTCGTTTCTTTTTCGTCATTTTACCTGATGAATTATATCACGAATTTCCATCGGCACTGGAAAGTTTCTCTCAACTTCATCGCTTTCATCTTCCGGATTTGGGAAAGGTTTTGCTTCCTGCTGTTCGTCGCTGCCATCCGGACGTTGACGGCCTTCGATATTTCCATGTTCAATCAAATTCCTCACTTCCACCGGAAGTGGGAATGGCCCTAACGGTATTGGTCGCGCGCCTTCTGGGAACGGCTTGAATTCCTGTTTTTAACGGCATACGGTTACAACTACGAGAGTTCGTATTATTCATAATGTGATTGTTCATTCTATAATTTCATAAAAATCTGCCCCTCCCACTCTGAAAACTACTTTACGGCTTGAAACACTTACTTCACGACGTGCTCCCTCCGGTACCTGTACCGGGAACGGTCTGGCTTCGCCAGTGATGTGCTGAATAATGTTTTTGATCTCCAGCGGTACTTGCTGAATGATTCTTCTGATTTCAATTGGAATGCCTTGGAAAGGAGAGCGCGCTTTCTCTTGCGTGACTTGAGGTGCGACCGATGGTCTCTGTTCGGCCTGCGGAATCATCACCGGTTGATGCATTCTCTGATCTTGGATCTGTGCCTCAGCTTGCGAAGGAGGAGGAGGAGGTGGTGGTAGCAGCATGGCAGGACCTTGTTGCTCCTGGTTGTAGGTGTTAGGAACTTGCTCGCCTTGTTGGTACACTATTGAGACATGCGACTGCGGCTCCTGGCGAGGCTCCTGAGCTATCGGCCGCATGCCTCTCATAGGATCTATCGGGAAATGACGCAGCTCGATGGGGATCTGGCGCATCTCGACCTTAATAAAGAAGATTGTCGAGTGATAGTCCGTTACGTAAAACAAAAACTGTTCATGACAACGTACACAGTTTGTTCTATCGTTCAATGCCTTTATTACTACTGTTTACTCGGATAGATTGTTTTACGTTCTACCTTGTATTTTTGTCACATAATTATATAAAAGAGCCTTAATTTAATTATAAGTGAGTATAAAAAGAAAAATTATCACACATGTATGATACTGTTAGCGGTGTTAATAAATCAAGTCCTTACTTGAGATCCCATCGGGTTATTCTGAGGACTCATCATAGGTGCTTGCGGCCCCATTCGAGGTGGCCTCATCTCCATAGTTAACTGAGGCAAGTTACGGAGCTCAGGTGGAAGTAAACCCGGAGGAATATGATTCAATCCTCGTGGGTCGCTAAGCGGCAGTTGCTGCATATCGGGAACCTGATATTGAGTGTGTATCTGATACTGATGGTAGCCTGGGTTGGGTTCCTGGGACTGCAGGGGAATTTGAACAGTGCCGAGAGGCACGATGATCGGGGTGAGTATTTCCTGCTCCTGTTGCCTGTCAGAGACCGGGACGATAGCATTAGACAAAACAAAAGTAATTCAGCTCACAGATGATTTCACTTGACATTAATATGACGCTAATTTGCAGGCTTTTTTGTAGCAGTAAACTTACTCCTGGCTTGGATTGCCCGACTCACAAAGAATAGCAACTCGCTCGCCGCTCAATCTCTGGAAACGTTGCGGATCAGTACTGTTATCCAGACCGTTGTCAGCGGTTCCGTCCATCACTTCGTCGGCCCGTCGTCGTTCAACCACGCAGGAAACTCTGCTACGAGCCTGCTGAATCAGCGTCTGAGGAGCGATTATTGCGTAAGTGGACGAACGGAATTGTAGTGAAATGCAAAAAACGAAATTCACGTACTCGATCCTTCTTAGCGCCGAATAATTATTATCGAGAACATATTGTTTCACGAAGAATATAGGATCTCATAAAATAGGATATACTTACACCTGCGATGTCGTCGAGGTCTAATTGAAGAGGAAGCTTAATGTGCACAGGAGGGAACTCATCGTCATCATAATCGTCATCGTCATCGTCGCGGTCGCCGCTCTCGCTGTCAGGTTTCGAGCTGTTCTCTCCTTCTCCTTGAACTTTCATATCCTTAATATCCATATTTGGATTGACCTCCTTCTTCGTCGGCGCAGCGAGGTTCTGCAGGGAATCCTTCGATTCGACAGATTCCTACGAGCGAAAGGAAAATTTCTTTTACATCCTGAAGCCTTCATAAGCAGTTGATTTTTAGATGTGGTATAATTTTTATCAATTGTTTTTTTACTAACAAAGTAACGAGTACTATCCTGATTGACGATAGAAAAGATAATTTTGGAGCAATATAGAAATAGGACATTCCACGTCAAGTGGGACAAGTGTTTGGGCAAAATTCATGAAGCCAAAATAAGACGCTTGAGGGCTTAAACTTTTCGTTTTTATGTATAGTTTAAGAAAAAACGTGGCCTTTTGAAAAATTAAAAACGGCCGCATCAATATGGCGGCTTGAGTAGATGAAAAACTTATTGAAAATATTTAATTCATTGATCAGGTGGTTCAAAATTCATTCGATTTGAAAATCGGTATCTGGGGGGTTTTCGGGTTACTCATGAACATTCCGTAGTCAGATGTCCGAAATTGAAAATGGCGGATCCAATATGGCGGTTGTAGTGGATGAAGAATTGACTGCAACGCTTAGATTCTTAATCGTGTGATCCGAAATTAATTTCTTTTCCCATGAAAATAGGTATGTGGGAGTTTTCCAGGATGCATTTTTCGTCAAAATTCTGAAAAAAATGTACGAGCAATTGGAAAATACATTCTTTCCGAGATCATAAATTTTCACGAATCTTTATTCCGAAAAATATGAATTTTCGGCAAAAAATAATGATAGAAGAACATCTGTTATTGTCTGATATTGTTGAAAAATCATAAGCTAATCTCGAAGACAGTCTCAACCCTTCAAAACGCAGAAAGCTTTCTACCTCAACAAACGAGAAGTGGATTAAATTGTACTGCATGTAATATTCAAACGGAATGTAAAAGATAACGTTAAACGATATTATAAGAACAAAGAGTCAAGAATAAGGAGAATATTAATTCGCAAAATGTTAAAGTCGAAAAGTTGGGTGCAAGATGATTTTTCAACAATATCAGACAATAACAGACTGTTCTTCTATCATTATTTTTACGAAAACTCATATTTTTTGGAATAAAGATTCGTAACAATTCATGATCTCGGAAAGAATGTATTTTCCAATTGTTCGTACATTTATTTCAGAATCTTGCCGAAAAATGCACCCTGGAAAACCCCCACATACTTATTTCCATGGAAAAAGAAATTAATTTCGGATCACACGATTAAGAATCTAAGCGTTACAGTCAATTCTTCATCCACTACAATCGTCATATTGGATCCGCATTTTCAATTTCAGACACCTGACTACGGAATGTTCATGAGTGATCCGAAAAGCCCCCAGATATTGATTTTCATGGAAGTTGAATGAATTGTGAACCACTTGATCAATGAATTAAATATTTTCAATAAGTTTTTCATCTACTCAAGTCGTCATATTGGTGCGGCCGTTTTTAATTTTTCAAAAGGCCACGTTTTTTCTTGAACTACACATAAAAACGAAAAGTTTAAGCCTTCAAGAGTCTTATTTTGATTCCATGAATTTTGCCCAGACACTTATCCCACTTGACGTGGAATGTCCCAAATATATTATTATTGGAACTAGTAAAGTAAATTAGTAGTCGTAATAGACTGATCTGCGAGAGAAACTTGGGAAATGTCGGCGAAAAAGAAGATAAGTAGTCCCCTCGAGGCTTCGAAAGCTGGACAAATATCGCCGCGGCAATCATCGTTCGTTGATGCAACTCGTCTTCCTGGTCGCGACATCGGGTCACAAGTGAAAGTGAACTCGCTTTACATTATCGCACTATAACCTCCTAGTACGGTAGAAATCGTACGCGAATAAGATGGTGCTTGAGCGGTTCGATTAGCATAATTCTGCCTGCCCGCGCACAATTTAAATAAATCAATATTAAATTAAATAAGACATAATATTATCAATTTATAATATTCCAGAAATAACAATAACATATCGATTATAAACTTATTAAAATGCTTTTTAGCTTTTCAACTGAATTGATCTTATGTTACTCATATTTTGCACGTCATTTGTGATCTAAGCAACCGCAATAAATTATTAATATTATCATCAACAATTAAATAATTTCTTAATTGACAAATGCCACACAAGAATATTGGTAACAAATAATTTCTTGCAGGAGGATAGTAATATTGACGATATATCGTGCACATCGAGATGCATATTTCAGTTTAAATGTACAATCGTGGACAGGAAGTTTGTCTGCTATTTTTTATATGAGTTCTGGAATGCATTCTTCTTGTTCATTGGGATAATTAATTTTGCAATAGAAGAATTTTCTATTAGACGAGATATTCCTCCACAAGAAAATATTTGTTTCATTTTTTAAATTATTCAACATCCTTGCACTTGGCTTTTTATTAGGCAAATAATTAATTTGAAGCAATTAGACGTCAAAAAAGCCATAAAAAGTTTCAATTATCGGTGTTATTGTTATTATTGTCGTTTTTGTCCAATAAAATAGTCCTAATTTGCCACACGCGTGCTTTATTCGCGCAGCGAATAATTTTTATTAATTATTTTTTAACAACCGCTTTATAATTGCGACTTAATAAAGTCCATTATAGCAAAACCAGGTACGATCAATTAATAACACACAATACCGTTCGGTAAAATGTCGATAGCCTTCGTTTTGCTGTACGTCGTCCAACTCAATACAAGAAAGCGACGCAGAAAGCAACTTCGAAAGCTCGAGCCTGGAGAAGGCGCATTCTTCTCGTCGGTTGCGTTTCTCGGTCTCACGTAATTACTCTTTTGTGCAAGAGCCTTCTCCGATTTGAGCGCACCGCACCGTCCGTCTCATACTTCCCATATCCTGCCATGTCTGCAGTAGCCATTAAATTAGAGATTACCACAAACGCGGCGCGGACATGTCGAAACTTTCTGTCCCTCAACGAATATCGATGCGGTTGGCTGGGTTCTTTTTTCTTTCCCATTTTTTCTAACATATCGTTGATCAGCGACGAACGATGGCAGTTATATTAGAGAAACACGCGTCACAAGAGCATCGCGGATGACAATTATTAATGTATTGCGCACGCAGCTGTACTGCGCGCGCGGTGACAACATTCTACAATAAACACAATGTATCGCGTATTGTCACAACTGTCCTCTTCCCCCAGTCGTCGCGATATAACATTCTATTTATAGAAAACATAGAAGCTCGACGGGAAAATTTATAGAAAGTAGAATATGCGCTATGTGAAAGATGTTTTTGAAGAATATTCTCTCACACGTGTATCAACTTTTATATGTGGTATGAAGATTAGGATGTATATTGCCTATATATGGGATGTCCCATTTTAAATGCCCCAGGCAGATATTTCAAAAAATATGGAAGATACGGAAAAATGTTTTAGACAAAAGTTGTATGGTTTCAAGGGAAACATAAAACAATTATATCAGTTTGTTTATAGATGGCACTATTTTCGAGATATTCACTGATCATTACTTTTCTTAAATGGAAACTTCAATTTCTTATTACACCATCGTTTTCTATCAATTAATTTGAACAATTTTTGTCTGAAACATTTTTTTATTTACCTAATATTTTTATTTACCTAATATTTTTTATATTTAAGGAAAACTTGGTAACTTTTTCAATATTTAATTTACGATATCTCTCTTTGTCGGAAAAAAAATAATACTAGACTTTTTTACTCTATTTGATCTCAAGAATATATTATTACAATAGTGCCCTAACTTTTGTTAACTTATCGACTTTTGGAAATTTCAAAATCATCAAATTAACAAAAATCAGGATATTATTGTAATAATATATTGTAATAATATATTCTTGAAATCAAGTAGAGTAAAAAAGTCTAGTACCACTTTTTCTTCTGACAAACATCGAGATATAGTAAGATAGTAAGTTGAATATTGAAAAAATTCCTTCCTTAAATTTCCCTTAAATATCTTAAAAATATTAAGCAAATAAAAAAATATTTCAGACAAAAGTTGTTTAAATTAATTGGTAGAAAAAGATGATATAATAAAAAATTGGGGTTTCCATTTAAGAAAAATAACAATCAGTGATATCTCGAAAGCGATGCCATTTGTAAACAAAATGATATAGTTGTTATATGTTCTCTTTGAAACGGTATAACTTTTATCTGAAACATTTGCCTGGGGCATTTAAAATGGGATACCTTGTGTATCTACTCTGCATTGGGTTATTAATATTTATAAATGTTACGAAAGTGCGCGGCAACGCATTTAGAATTAACTCGGAAGTCGAACGGAGTCGAGGATCGTGGCAGCCTCGGCAAGGCACGAGGAAATGCGAACAGGAACGCCGCGCTGCCTGAGTTGCACTTTCCACTCAGGGAAATTACTCAGGATGTAGAAAGGATTTCACTACAGGCCGGACGAGCGCGACAGACAGCCTGCATGATCGCCAAGCTAAAACGGAACGGAGCGATACGACGAAACATGGTAAACCGCGGGAACGCGGTACAAAAGTGGATACGTCTACAGGAGGGGGCAGTGTTCGTGCGTGTATGTGCATGTCCTGTAAAATAAATTGCAATGCGTTCACGTACATTTACGGAGAACGGCAAATGAGACTAGCGTGACAAACCGCTCATCGTGGCGTTATTAGAAAACGTATCATCCATGGCGAGTCAATGTTCTAATGAACGTCCTTACCGCTCGATTCAATATAACGTGAAACGTGAAAATCGAAAGAACATCTTCGAGATATCTAAGAAATTTATAATTTCCTGAAAATAGGACGCGCTTTCTAAAAGATCTTTCATAATATCGCGGTCTTCGCGTGCTCGAATCTTTCATTCTTTACGTTAAATAAATTAATATTAAATATCTTGATAATTAAATTTTAAATGAAACACACACAGATGTTAGAAAATATATCGTCTGCAAGCGTGCATTATGTTTTCCCGGAGAGCAATTCTCCCGCTCCATTAAATATAACATAAAAATCGAAAGGATGTCTCCTTTCACACTCACGAAATTTGTAAAATTTCCTGAAAATAGAACGTTTTCTAAAAGATCTTCCAT